CACACACACACACACACACACACACACACACACACACACACACACTGAACCAGGCCTCCTCTGGTTCTGATCCTCTGGTCCTGATCCTCTGGTTCTGATCCTGTGGACCTGATCCTCTGGTTCTGATCCTCTGGTCCTGATCCTGTGATCCTGATCCTGTGGATCTGATCCTCTGGTCCTGATCCTGTGGATCTGATCCTGTGGTCCTGATCCTGTGGTTCTTCTGGTCCTGATCCTCTGGTTCTGATCTTCTGGTCCTGATCCTGTGGACCTGATCCTGTGGTCTGTGCTGCAGGTGTGGAGCTGCACCGGATGTTTCTCCCTCTTCCACCTGCCCTGCATACAGAAGTGGGCCAGAGACTCGGTCTTCCTCATCTCCTCTGTGACTGATGAAGACTTTGGTGAGAAGCAGCACCCGTGGCCCTGGTGAGGAAATAAAACCTGGTCCATCTGAGCTGTGGGTCCAGCAGAGACCTGTGGGTCCAGCAGAGACCTGCAGGTCCCTTTAAAGTATCTGTGACACGTCTGTCCTTCCCAAAGTCAAAGAAAACATCTTTATATTTGATAAAATTACCATAATACACATGATTTTACACATTTTGTACCATAACTGGCCTATTTCCTTTTTAAATTTGACTCAGCCAAAGTGAAACAGGAAGTGACATCATAGGTGAACTCGTTAATAAAATAAACTCTTTGGTCTTTGTTTATTAAAACAAAATTATTTAAACTTTAACTTTGTCTCTTGTTGATAGAAACACAAAATAATCTAAAGAAACATCAGACTCTACAGTCTGTAACAACGATCTGTTCACATTCTGATCCTATGACATCACTTCCTGTTTCTTCACAGGCAGATATCTCAACAACTGTTCATCTCAGTGACRTGACGTTTGTTTTACACCATGTTATAAATGTTATCTTTCTAAAAATACGTTCATGTTTATTACAAACATGTGATGTCACAGACCCTTTAAAGTGACTCAGCAGTTTTTATCTAACCTGTCTACAGCAGATGGTTTCAGTGACTCTGAACCAGGTAAACTTTAAGATCCTGACCCTGATGTTTGTGTTCCTCCTCAGTCCAAAGTGTCGTACAGAATACCCTCCCAGCTCCACACCCAACAGGTACGTGTGGGGGTCAGGACCCTCCTCACAGGAACAGCTTCAGGTTGTTGACTCAGTGACAGGTGGACGTTTCCCTGGAGGCTTTGTTTGTTTGTTTGTTTGTTTGTTTGTTTGTGAATGGTTTCATGCTGTGGTTTCTGTGTCTGTGTTGCGTTCAGGTACATGTGTTACTGTGGGAAACTGCAGGATCCTCCAGCTGACCCCTGGTTGGTTCCTCACTCCTGTGGCTCCGTGTGTCAGAAGGAGCTCAAACCCACCTGTGGACACACCTGTCTGCTGCTGTGTCACCCTGGTAACTACACACACACACACACACACACACACACACACACACACACACACACACACAC